CCCTGAAAAGAACATATTGACAAGTTTTATGACCAAGAAAATTATGAAATTTACATAACCCCCTTTTCTTCTTTTGTTCAATTGGGGGATTATTTAGGCTCTGAGGGACCACAATTTGACCATCAGTTACTAACAAATCAAATATTTCATCACATTTAGTTATGTCGAAAGTATATGTCTTGGTGATGGCTTTGCCATTCTTTTCAGTTTCGACGGGGTTTTTCCCATTCGATGGTTTCAAAAGTTTACACGCATAAAGGGATCCAGGGTGTAGTTCAGCCACATTAACCTCTATTTCTTCCCCTGACTCATTTTCGTCAGAAGAACATCCATCAGTTGCCACATAAGCAACTTTCCCTTTTTTGTGATGCTTGTTTGGCTTAGTTTTTTCAGCTTTCAAATGTCTGATCAGTCAAACTTTGATAGCTAATTGAACCATATCCTTTAAAGATTGAGTGTCCAACAATTCCTTCATAATGGAATACTCTAACCCATTTGCAGCCATTTAGACCAACTCAATAAAGCACCATGCTTTCAGAAGTCTAAACCTATTAAGGTATTGGTCTATTGAATCAGTGCTCTTTCGTTTGACACTGGACAATTCTATTAGGCTTATCTTGGACGGCCCCATATGGAATTTCTCATGGAACAATTTCTCTAACTGGGTCCATGTCTGAACCGACTGTGGGGGAAGCATTGTAAACCAAGTGAACACATTCTTTCTAAGGGAATTGGGAAAATGTTTCATCTTCAAATCTCCATTCACTACTAAATCTCCAAGTTCTGTTTGGTATCTAGTAACATGTTCGACAGTGGACTCTTCGACATCCCCTATAAGCTTAGTGAATTTTGGGAGTTTCCAACCCCTTGGTAACTCCGTGTGTAACACAAAATCTGGAAATAGAGAAACAAATGTGGTCCTATGACAACCAATATTCATCCCATTCCTAACAATTATTCATTCGATAATGGCTTCTAGGTTTTGTTCCCCAACCACTATTTCACGTCGAATCTGCCTGACCAATTAGTCGGTATTCTGGTTTTAGTTTGCTATTACTACTAGGGGTTGTTGTAATACCCTAAGTATGGGGTCGAAACATGAAGGAGTAAGCAGATCCTATTTGACCTCTTCATCGAAAACCTATTCATAGTGCATTGGTACCTCACATGGTGGGGTGCAGCCTGTTGAACTGGCGCTCTGGGAGCACCTAGAAAATCTCCCATGCGAGTCATCTGAGCTGCTAACGTTTGATAAATCTACACTGAATTTTCAATTAACGGTCTTAATATGAGACTTATCTGTTGAGTGAGCATATTGATCATTTCATGGTTACTTTCATCCATATGTTGCCTCATGATAGCAATAATACTTGGGGTAAAAGTCGGCATAATTTGGCTGGAAAAACCCAACCCAGTTGAATGCTCAAATTAGCTTCCTGACAACCTCAAAGGATGATATGGTGAAAATGCATAATTTTTGCCAAATGTTGGACTGTTGGTATGCAATCCTGCCATCATTGTTGTGTGTATTCCATACTCATGTATATTTTTGGCAAAACTAGGCACATACTGCCCAGAAGTTGGAACCACACTATCGTGCGTTTCTCTTGTAAAACTAGGCACATAAGGCCCAACAGTTGTGACCATTGTTGGTCTTGCAGTTACTGGTTTTTGTGGTAATTATATTTGGCACTGTCGATGATATGACCGCTGGACTGGAACCTACACTCGCCACCGTACTGGTATTTCCTCCCATATTCTGATCCCTTTCAGGAGTTTTAAGATCTACCATTTTCTACCACTTATTAATTTCATGCACGAAACAAGAAGACTCAAACACAAACGTGTCCCACCTGGTGTGCCAATTTGTTTCTCCGTGAAACAATCGCTAGCCTCTTATTAAAGGTTACTTGCAGGATCGACTACACTAATCCTAGACTTAGTGTTTAGAGTGTTTTTGGGTTAAAAAAGGGTAAAAGGGCAAAAGGTATAAACAATTACAAAGTAAATAAATCAAAGACAAGACTTGTAATTTAAAGTGAAAAGACTGTAGTTTTCTATAAATTTAAATGTGAAAGCATTTATACATTGTTAAGTTTGAACTCGTCTCTCTCTTAGATGCGAGTACTTTGATTGTATTGCTATTAAATATGAAGAAATGTGACCCGTACACAAATAGAAAAAATTGCTTAAATAAACGTCTTAAATATGTAACCATCGACGGTTACTATCCCATGTTTGGGCTTCATGAAAGCTTAAATCTTCCCACGTTCTTGTTGGCTTGCACATTGGTAACCGTTCCCACCAATGTTCCTTGCTTCGTCGACCTCTACACTCGTAGACAACTTCCTCTGATCTTTCTGTCCTTGTCGACTGGTTCGTTTGGTTGATGTCCTTCTTCTGCTTGACGCATCTTGTTGTATTTAACTAATTTAGACCTCTTTAGCCAACTAAACCTCACAACTTAATATTTATTCCTCTTTGTCAAAAATTGCCCCCCCCCCCTAAAAAAAAAACGCCATGTTCGACAGAGTCTCGTCGATGGGAGAATCTTGGCGTTTTCTCTTCCATATTTTCGATTGCACGCCTATTTGGGATGACGTCATGCGTAATCATGACTATTTTATATTCAACAGTTCCCCATATCATTTCCATCATTTCTCATGATCACTCATAAGTTTTAGGGTGTGGGTTTCTAACAAATCCCACTAACTTTTCGACTTCTTTTGGCCTGCTCACGCTACTCAAATGACGCGTGTTTCGCTTCTAACAATTCTGATTCCTCTTTAAATATACTTTCAAGAACCTTTAGTCTTTTTTCTTCTACTTCAGTTTTCCACTTTTCAATTCTTGAAGAAATCTTAAGGAAATTCCTTCAGAGATACATGTTATTCACAATTGATATTGTCCTTGTCAAATAAGATATAATAGATTGAATAACTAATATATTTTATGAAACTAAAATAAAAAAAAATATACTTGAGAATTTCATTCTATTAAAAAAAATTATAATATTTCCAATTCTCTAAGTATGCATACCATCAAATTATGGAAAAAAATTGGATAATTTTTATTCAATTTTATTTCTCTAAAATTTATGTTACAAATTTTTACATCAATAAAGGAATTTTTTTGTGAAATCCTTATGAGATACTTAATTATTATTGATTCAATCCTTCTAAAATTCGTTAATATGATTGATGCAATCATTTTGCAAACTTTTAACATAATTGATGCAATACTTATGAGATACGTTAATATTGTAGAGGCAATTCTTATGAGATTTGTTAATATTGTAAATATAATCCGTTTAGGATTAATTAATATTAATGATGCAATCCTTCTAAAATTCCATAATATTATAGATGCAACCTTTTAAGGATGCTTCACTGTTGAATTCTTCTGAAATTCATCAACTATTGATAAACACACTAATCAATTAAAATCCAATCTTTGAACAATTTTTTGGAGAAAATTTAATATTAAATTTTAGTTCTACAAAAAACCAAATCACAAATTATTTTCATAAACAACAATCAAGAAAAATTATTCTTCGTGTAATCCTTTAGACGCTTGAATGTTAAATTATTTTGAAATTAATCAATAATAGATTAACACTTTGATGTGTTAAAACTCAATTTTGAACAATCATATAGAAATGCTTTAATGTTAAATTCTTCTCGAATTTAATAAGAATGATCAAAAAAATATGATATGATATGATTATATAAGATAAATAAATTTCTCTACAAAATATATAAAAAATAAACATATTTATATGAATCAAATATATTGAGAGTAGAAAAATAAAGTAAAATCCAACTATATCATTATTCGCACCGTAGAGTCCCGTGTTAATAACATGTTATGAAATTAATTAAAACAATATAAAGAAGAAGGATAGAAAGAGAAGAGAGAAAATAATCTTATATTGATATCTTCAAGTTCACTTAAATTGTAACATGAACTATATTTATAGTGCATGGCCAATAACAACCATTAACTTAAACAATACACAAATTATTAGAAAAATTAACTCATAAAAATTAAAGAATATAAAAAATAAGAAAAAATAGACATTCACATCTATTTAATATTATTCATAACAGAATTTAGAACTTAAAATTTATACAAGTTTTTCTTACAAATTTAGTCCTCTATTTAAATAATAATAATCATCCATTTAAAAAACTATTTTTTCTCCTAATTTCAATTATTAATTTTTTTTTGATCCCACCAAATTTTGAAACCAGCTTTAAATATAGACCAATTTAATGTTCATATCCATATACATGTAAAAATCAACCTCATAATAGGACAAAACCAACTTCATTATAGAACGAGACTAAAACATATAAACACTTAAAAATAAAGACAAAAAATGAATTTTTAAAATAAAAGATTAAAATTAACTATTTTAAAATAGAGAAAAACACATTTATCTAAAAAAATGTATGGAAAATCAAACCAAACAAGTATAAATATTAAAATGAATTGACCAATTTTACGAGAGTTAGTAAAAAAAATAAAATCTCCAAGTCAAATAAAAATTTCCATATATTCAGCAAAAATAAATAATTCACAGAATTTCATAAAATATGATTGACACATTGAACGAATGTGTAGTCGACCAACCAGTATACGTATTTTAATATTCTCCATACATTTGAAAATAAAATAAAAATAATATTTACAAAAAAAAAACTCAGAAAAAAGAAAGAAAAAAACTAATAATTTCTAAGAGTACATGTATTATTTTTGTACCGAATCCCTTTCCCCTCCTTTTCATTTCACTCCTCATTCCATTCCCGTAGCTACCATCATTCTCTCTCTACACTCCTCTATCATTCTCCAAGCCCTTGCGTATTTCGATCTTCCTCCATCGAAATTAGGGTTTACAATTCTCTATCTCCACCAGTCCAATCCCATGCTCCGCTGCTAGATTCACCAACGCGTCACAGATCCCGTCCTCCCCCGCCGCTTCCTTCTTCTCCGCCGTCATGTTCTGGAAACTTCCATCCATATCCGCTTCCTCTCCGGTGAGTTTCTCACTCTTACTGAAAACTACTCGAATTCCGTTCTGTTGCGCTTTATTCAAATTCCTCTTCGATTATTTCTATTGTAGTTTTCTTTGCTTTTTCAGTTGGAGTATCAGTTAATTTTAGTTTCTCTCTTTCGAATTTTCAAATTCTCGAATTCATTGTTATTATTCAGTAGTAGTTGTTAGTTTCTATTTAATTTTTAACGATTAATCGTTCTTTCACTGTGCTTAGTTAATTTCTAGCCTCGCGTGTTTTTAATTAGCGTAGTTTTTTTTTTCCATTACTATCGTTTTTTTCTTTCTATTGCTTTTATTTAATTCGGTTGTGAATTTCTGTCTCTTTAGTTAGCGAATTATTCAATTAAATAACAATTGATGTTTTGTATGTAATTTTTCTTAACCTCCATATCTTAATTTGGGCATATGTTTACTGAGTATTTGAAAGTTCTCGCGGTTAAAGCTATACAATCAGATAACTGCAACTTTTGTGGAAAAAAAGAAAGAAAAGAAGAATCTAATGAAAAGCTTCTTTATAAGCTTTTTAGCTTTTATGTTTTGGTAGATTTGAATTCAAATTTCGAAGGCTGTTCCCGGTTATCGTCTTTTCTAATGGAAATTTTTTGCTTCATTTGTTTATAGATTTGAATTTGAATTTGAAGGCAGTTTTCGAAATCTTGCTTTACTTTTTCAAGATTATCACATTTCTATGTTCTTTTATTGAATTGAAACTATTAAGATGGCTGCTTGTTTTTATAATCGAAGTCTAGGGTGGCTGAAAGCTTGCCTAGCTTATTTACTTGCTCAATGTCTCATTTTGTGTTGCTGATGATTTACAGGTCGAGGTAGTATTGGACAAGGAGTACTACACTTTGGAAGAGCTTCTGGATGAAGAGGAAATAATCCAGGAATGCAAGGCCTTGAACAGTCGTCTCATTAACTTGTATGTTTCTGTTCAGTTCAAAATGATGGAGTTTTTCTTTCCCCAACAATTTTCATCCATCCCGGTGCTTATTTTTGTTTGTCAGAGTCTAATGATATCGAATGATTAATGTATCTGTCATATAGTGAAAAGTGAAAAGTGAAAACTAAGGCTTAGTTGTTGTTGTTTTACTTATTTTCTGTATCTGTCCATTTTTACCTTCAGCATTAGGTGAGCTGGGAGTAAGTTTAGTTGCATAAAGCACAGGCTGGATACAAAAAGATGATTGCTAATTTTTTGCTTTTGTTGTTTTCTTGCTTTCAGTTTGAGAGATAAAGAGCAGGTTGAGCAATTGCTTCGCTACATTATTGAAGAACCACCAATTGATGCTGAAAACAAACGGGTCTTCAAGTATGCAGTTTATACAAATAATTTGTTTCAAAAGAGCTTATGTTTCAATGTTTCAACTTAATTGTTTACCCCGATTTAGCATCTGATCATTGATCTATGATTTAGGTTTCCGTTCATGGCCTGTGAGATCTTTACATGTGAAATTGATGTCATTTTAAAGACCTTGGTGGATGAAGAAGAGGTCTATCATCCATTTTCATGACCCACCTTGACTTTGTTCTACTTTATATGGCGATGCTTTGCTTGTACTTGTTTCCACTTACCATTCTTGTTATTGCAGCTCATGAACTTATTGTTCTCCTTCCTGGAGCCTGACCGTTCTCATAGTACCTTGCTGGCTGGGTACTTCAGCAAGGTACATCTTTGACCTTCAGAAGTTTTTGTATTTATGACATTTTATCTACAGTAGCTATATGGTTGAGTTGAAATCACTTGCTTGAGATATTAATTTGTTGCCATTTCCAGGTTGTTGTTACTCTAATGATCCGGAAGACAGCACAGCTTATCAGTTATGTTCAAGTAAGTGAAATAATGTTGATTTTTAGTAATTGTTTTTATTATAATAATGCTATTTTACATTTTCAAGAGGACAACAAACTACCACCGGGTATAAAACTTTCCTTTTGTTCATAGTATCTTTGTGCAATGGTGTCTGTAGTTTATTTTAGAGTTAACCTGTATGTCATGTGGTGTCCTTGTGAAATGGTCTTGCATTCATGCTTCAGCATACTTTTTGCAGGCCCATCAGCATGTGTTTCGCCAACTGGTTGATTTGATAGGCATTACATCCATCATGGAGGTAAACATCTACGAGTACCTATAGCTTAATTGAGATCTTGCTAATGTACTAGAATGGGTTATGAGATAAGTTATTTGTACAGGTTTTGGTTCGACTAGTCGGTGCTGATGATCATGCATATCCCAATTTTATAGAAGTGATGCAATGGTTGGCTGAGAGCAATCTGCTAGAGATGATTGTTGATAAATTAAGTCCCTCGGTAAGTGCAACATTTATATTCTGGGTTTCTGTATGTGTATGTGTACATTATAATTGTATACCAAACATCGTAGTGTTGATCACATTTTGTGGGAGGCTATTTTATTCATTTAATGGTAGATAATCCTCGGGACGGTTGATAAAGTTTGACTAACTGTTGTTCATTTACCTTACACGAAGCCATACCTTCTTTGAATGAAAAAATATGGAGAAAAAAACAATCCTTTGAGATACTGAAAGATGGAGTGTTTGAATTTTATGGGTCTTTGCTTCTGTACTGTCTTATTATAAATGCATAATCTGACAACTGCTTCCTTTTTGTTTGAACCAGAGTCCCCCTGAAGTTCATGCCAATGTAGCTGAAACATTATGTACAATAACTCGAGTTCCATCATCCACTTTAGCAATTAAGCTTTCAAGTCCAAGGTTTGCGCCGCAAGGCTTTACTTACTTTCTGCTTTCTTAATATATACCTGCAAATTAATAGTAATTTCTTTACAACTTTGCAGTTTTGTTGCAAAAATTTTGGATTACGCATTGGACAATTCACAATCGAAGTCTAGTCTTGTCAACTCACTCTGTGTGTGTATTTCTCTACTGGATCCCAAAAAATCAGCTGTTTCATCTTCACTTTTTCATTCATTCCGAAGTCAAAACATGTATGAGCCACCAATTCCTGTAAATCCGGATACTATTGGTGCAATGCTCCCTAAACTGGGTAAGTATAATTTGTGCTGTCCCGTGTGCGGAATAGTTTATACGTTTACCATTAGGTGTTCCATTTATTTGTTACATGTTTAGAATGACATGTTACTTGTCGAGGGAAAGGAAAAAAGACGTGTTGAATATTGGGTGTTTCAACGACACTTTGGAGTCAATTAAATTTTATATTGGCTCAAGGCAATACATACAATATAGATATAGGAGATATTATTCCTATTTACCTGATATGATACAGTATGATATGCCTACACTGAACAATAAATACAAAGATCATATTATATTTTCGACATTCTTAAAGAAAATTATAGTTGTTTAGAGAAGTGTAGATTGTTTTCAATTATGTTATGAGATGCATAGTGATTATGATGAATAATAAGATTTTGAAAAAAGATCAGGGTGAAGTCCCAGTATACAGGAGGTGTATTAAGCGGAGCCCTCAAGAAAGGAATATGTGATTATAGATTTTTGGTGATTAACATTATGTGGACATTTTCTATGTTTTACTTGGTTTGTGACTTTCAATTTAAGATTTCCATTTGTTACAATAAAATTTAAATTTACCATTTACCATTTTTTGTCGTGGTAATAATATAATCACTGGAGAGTAGTGCTCTAACAGAATAACCTGGTGTTTACCAATTGAAAGGGAATTGATCAACACTTTTCCTAGAAGAAAGATGCCTGGAGCTTTGCCAATAAAATGGGTTGTAATGTGGTTTGGGTTCTAATTATTCTAAGAACTATTGAATATCTGGTTTATTGATTTTTCGTTTTTGATTGATATCTGGGTTCTAATCGTTTTTGGTTAACATGTTATGCAGCTTAGTTTTGTTTGGCTTTTTTCTGAGGGGAGGAGAGGTTGTAGTTGATGGTAGTAGTAATGCACCTTGTTACCTTCTAATATTTCTGAATTAGAATCTTGAGGAATGATAAGAAATTTTTTACTTCTACTTTGTACATAATCTGGCATATCTTGTTAGAGTAGCCTTGTCACACCATCATCATCATCATCATTATCATCATCACCATCATCATCATTAAGGTGGCATGTCTTGTCTACAGGGGATTTGCTTGTGCTTTTGAATGTGTCATCCGACGACAAGGTATTGCCTACAACATACGGTGAACTGAGACCTCCACTTGGCAAGCATCGATTGAAGGTTTGTTATATTTTATCACAAATTTCATGTGGCTGCTGCCCCGATTTTAAACTAGGTCGTATGCATAGTTGGTTGGTTGGTTGAGATTTAATCTTTATCCACATATAACCTTCACTGTGTACCTCCAGTACTCTTTTAAAGTCCTAAGCAAACATAGCTCTAATATCATATTTTCATACACTTTCTCTGATCAACTTCCATTTATTTCAGATCGTGGAGTTCATTGCAGAACTTTTAAAAATCAGAAATGAAGTGGCAGAAAAAGAATTGGTCAACTCGGGAACCATTGGACGAATTGTTGACCTTTTTTTTGAGTAAGCTACTTCTAATTTTCAGTTTTGCAGAGTCACATAGATGTCTAATATGATCTTGATGCATTGTGCATAGGGGTTTCTTACTATTGAAACATTATCTACAATACAGGTATCCGTTCAATAACTCGTTACACCATCACATAGAAAGTATCATATTATCATGTTTGGAGAGCAAAGCTGATGCCATTGTTGATTATCTTCTCCAAGGTTGTGATTTAATTGGGAGGTTTCTCCAAGTAGATAAACAATGTGTTCTTTCTGCTGAAGGCAATCAGGTAAATGGATGCCTCAAATTAATACATGAGAGATTGTGTGTGTATTTGGTCACTGATACACAGCTCTTAAAAGTATGATGCCGAGAAACATGACACACTTGGAAATTTTTTGATAGTGTGTGAAATTCAGCTATCTTTTTTTCTTCACGTTTTATTGAAGTATACGTGAAAAGAAAGATGGATCATACACGGGTTCTTGTGATATATCCTATATGCACTGTTATGGTCTACTAGAACATCGTTTAACTGAATGCATGATCTTGCAGCGAACAATACCTGCGGATGGAAAACGGGCGACCCGGGCGGGAAACATTGGACATATTACTCGAATTGCTAATAAACTCGTTCACTTGGCTCATAACCAAAGCCACATTCTAGCACGTCTTCAGGTTAGTTTTCTATGAATTCATGGAACAAGGTTTTTGGTTTTCATAGTAAGTACTAAGTTGGGTATGAAACTTTGCCAACTTGTATCTTAATATTGATTATCAGAAAGATCTGTAGTAGAATATATGCCTTGAATTGAATCCTTGAAATTTTTTCTTAAAAACTCATCATAGAAACTTTGGTATCTCATATTAACAGTCTTATGTAATATAACTCATTTTGTGTTGCTTTGAGGATAAGAGTCATTGATGCATTTTGATTCAGTTTTTAATAGCTGTTCTCATAATAACTGAGCTACGTCTTCTTCTAAATAACTGTCATTATTTTGTTCGTGTTCGTCTGCACTTTCTTTTTTTCTCACTCAGTTGTGTAGTTCTTTTGTTTCTCGTGCCTTAAACAACAAGGTTGAACTTATGTCTAGAAATTATGTTTGAGTGAACACTCTTTATACTAAAACTTTACATATTCAACGTTTGTAGGAGAACCATGAGTGGAATGAATGGCAAGCTACAGTTCTTGAGGAGCGGAATAAGGTTGAGAATGTTAATCGCTGGGCTTGTGGGTAAGTTCTGATTTCAGTTATCAAGCTATAAGGTCTTAGAAAAAGTGTCAAGGGGATCAAAGTTTATTTCTTTGGCATCAAATTTATTGGTTGTGTAAATTTTGGTTTTGGGATGTATTTGTAAACATAGGCAAGGCTTATGTTTTTATCATATATTTCTATGCTAACAGGTCCTTTCATAGTTTCATAACATGTGGGATAAAAGGGTGTCATATAGTGGTATCAGAGTACCAAACGCTTTAAAATGGGTAGTCATATGATGACAAGTGTGATTATTCAGAGCAATAGGTGTTTGGTGGGCTTGGTTTTCAGTGTTCGATATTAAAAACATAGAGGTGTGGATGATGCGATCCTTTAATATTTTTGTTGATGTTTGTGTGCAGACGTCCAACTGCATTGCAAGATAGGATGAGGGATAGTGATGACGATGAAATTCATGACAGAGACTATGATGTTACATCATTAGCAAATAATTTGAGCCAGGCTTTTGGATACAAAATTTATGGAAATGAGGACAATGAAGAGGTTTGTTTTTAGCTGGTTGTCTGTGTGTGCACTTTCATCTGTCTTCCCCCCTCCCATCTCCCCAATCATTCCATTTTTGTCTTTCATGTTGGACACTGCAGCCTAGATATGCTAAACTAATGCGGTGATGATCTTAATTACAGGAGCATGGTGGTGTTGAGCGAGATGATGAGGTAACAGTTGATTATATATAGTAACTACAGTAATCGTATTTGATTGATTTCACAGATTTTGAGAACCACTTTGGCTGTTTTAAATGTCTTGCTCAATTTGCAATTTGGGTACTATCCTTTGCTCATTACGAGTCTGTATACTTGCATATACAAAGTGATCATTTGACATGTTCCATGGCTTGTAATCTGCTTAACTATTTCGACCAGTGGTTCTTTACTTTTTGCCTCTCTCCTAGTCAAACAGTAATCAACTAAAGCATATAATTACAGGAGAATACCGATAAAACCTAATTATAGAGATCAGAACCAGAGGCTCATCACCCGACACACCATTGAAACAGAAAACCAAAGACAAAATGTCAAAATTTGGAGGTTTCAGAGACCTTCCTTTCCAAAGGCCTGAATATAATAATTTGATTAGATGCCTTCTACCCTAAATTTCCCTTGCTTCAATCACTAATTCTAATCTTGCACACCCTCCTTTCCATGTAGGAAAGGTTGTTATTACTACCCCAATCCATCGTATAGTCTTAGAATTGGGCAACGCTTAACCCAAAGGCTAGGTCAAGGGGTGAGGGCTACTTTGACCATACCATATATCTACTCGAAATAGGATATAATAGTTTGCCATCACAACCAAGCAGACAACTTAGCCGGTGAGGCGAGGAATGTTGTAGTAGCTCTAACCAAGATGTCCAGGGTTCACATCTGGAAAGTAACTTTACTATCATTTGCCTATAAAAAAAATAGATAATCCCCCTCACGCTTCATGCTCAACGCAATGAAGACAACCCAAGATGGCTGCTGTGAAAGCGACTAGGGTTTTCAACACCCTGGTCATGCCTAGGACTAGACATTTAGAGTATGGTTTAATGATGATGGCCCAATAAAAAATATAGGATAAGCTCTAATGCTATACTAGAATTTGGGACAAATTTAATTCAAACCCAAAGTCAATTGCAAAGAAGGCAGCCACAGTGGGCTGCATTGGAGGAAGCTAGCGTTTTTCCAATACCTAGTAGTCTCGCAGTTTCTGATAACTACTTATTTGATTGTATAAGCATGCTATCATACTGTAATCTTATATTCTTTGTCAACTGTTTTTTTTTTTTAAAAATAAAATGTAGGACGTGTACTTTGATGATGATTCTGCTGAGGTAGTCATATCTTCCCTTAGACTTGGTGATGATCAAGGGAGGTGAGTATTTATTTTGTCGTATTCTTATAGCCAGTAATTTTGTTAGGAGAAATACAATCTTATTGTTTTATCAAAGAGTATGATATATTTATGCAAAATGTGAAATTACTCAATCTAAGAACTCGCTTTGCTTCTTACACACATAAACATGTTATATATTGTCATGTCAGTTACTGTTATAGAATGTTTTTATCACTCAACAGTAAATGAGGATATAAGTTGGCATTATTTGTTTTATGCAGTAATCTGTTTACAAACTCCAACTGGTTTGCTTTCCAAGATGACAGAATTGGTGATGCAAATGGGGGAACATCATCGTCTGAGATGATGGATGAGATAAACTTTAATGGAGCTGCAAATGGCGGTAGCAACAGTAGTGATGATGATGATGATGAGGTGGTGGTTGGAGAGGATGAAGAATTGACTGACAGCAAAGATACTGTGAATGGTACGTCTAGTTCAAGCACAAACATACTTAGTGGATTAACTGGTAGTGATTCAATGAATGAAGGCACTTCAGATTTTGAAAGTGAGAAAGCAAGCACTTCGCATGACATGGGATTCTACAAATTTGAGGCAACAGACAATGAGGACTTGTTTGGTGATAGACCTTTACCAGATTGGGTGGGATGGAGTGAGCCATCAGATATACAAGTGGCTAGCTCAAGTATGAATCCTTTTCTGGATCATAGTGAACCAGGCAGTAATTTGGCTAGTAAGTCATTAGGCGATCAGAATCCGAATTCTTCAAATGGGGAACCTGTGCTATCAAATGGGTCACCAATTACTAGAGATTCAATGGATGCGGATGAGGACTCAAGTCAAAGATCGGTATCCGTACCCTCTTTATTTGAAGAGGATGTGGAGTTTGTGGGTGTAGAGTTAGAAGGCACCGGTAATGCAATGGAACAGGCCCTAAAAGAAGGGATAGTTGGGGAAGCAGGGCCATTAAAAAGAAATGTATCCCCGAAAGGGCCAGAAAAAGAAAATTCTGAAGAAGGTAGTCCTGGTGTGAAGGAGTTCAATGATACAAATTATTGGAGGGTTGACCAAGAGGTTGCTGTTCTAGAGTAATAGATGATGGTAAATATTGCCTTTATTTTCTATGAAAAATAGACCAACACTGGTGGGACCTTATTCTCAGTTCGCAAGGTCATGCAACAAATTAGTGTACAGTGGAGTATACTTTTATTTCAGTTAGGCTCTTATTCTGTTTCAGATTATCAGATATTAAGCATGTTTACCAAATTTGAAGTTTTGCAATCTGCAAGTGATTGAATGGAATTCCAACATTTATTGAATACTTAGTCTGGTTTTCAATTTAGATTGCATGTTTGACTAATAATGTTTTTATGCATGTTCTCTGTTATTAAGCCGATATGTTAATTAAGCTTGTGGTTTTTAAAGTTTTATGCTAAATTTGTGATCTAAGTCACAATAACTTAACGTTTTGACATGTTAATGTTTATATTGTTCACAGAAATGACGGGGTTAATTATTGTAGGAATAAGTTGTGGAATTTCATATTTGTAATAACTTAGATCTTGGGTAACTGAATTCTGTCAACTTATTATTGAATGCATTTTTTTTATTAAGTAGGTTAAATTAATATAATGTGTAGAATTCGGAACACATGCGTTTTAAGAGGCACGAAAAGGAGAAGTAGAAAGAGATGAAAGATATAGAAAAGGACAATAGATCCAAAGATATAGTATAGGACAATATATCTTGTTTGTTTTGACTTTTTTTAAAAATCATTTATAATATTATATAATTTAGTGTAAAAAAAAATTATTAAGAAATTTTTTAAATGTTTTAAATGAAAATTTAATTTGAATAGCTATTTTTAAAATATTATTTTAGGAATTTCATTTTTTTATTGATTTTTTTTTAAAATTTAAAATTTTAAAAAAATATTTAATTTTGAAACTATTTTAAATAAATTTTCATAACAATCATTTTTAAAATACAGTATTTAATAAAAATTATAATTATAATTATATTTTAATTTTTAATAATGTATGTTTATGTTATAAGATATCAAAATTAGTAAAATTTTTAATAATTATCTTTAATTTAGAAAAATGAGTATAAAAAATTTATAATATTTTAAAAAATAATCTTGTAAAATTTATTTTAAAAAATATAAAAGGAAAATTTATTTTTTTAAAGTTGAAATAAACGGTCCAATATCAATATCTTATGCAATTGTAATCTATTTTTGTCCCTTATTTTACCTACTTTAAAAATTTAAAAGATTGTAGCAATTAATTTATTAAAAAATGTATGACTTTTTATTCATAATAGAGTGAAAATAAATTTATATTTTCAAACTAACAAATTAAACAGATGTAGTTTTATAAAATATTAATGAATAAATATCTAAAATTTTACACTCTTGACCTTATTTATAAGGCAAAAGCAATGTTTAAAATCTGAAATCTGAATTTAACTAAAAAAAAAAAATATTAATATCATTTTGAAAAAGTTATTAATCTTTATACTATATATTTACTGAATTACCTATTATTAATATCAAAATTAAGGAGTAACTTTTAAGTAAAATTAAAATAAAACTATTATTATTATTATTATTATTATTATTATTATTATTATTATTATTATTATTATTATTATTATTATTATTATTATTATTATTATTATTATTGTTATTATTATTATTATTATTATTATTATTATTATTATTATTATTATTATTATTATTATTATTATTATTATTATTATTATTATTATTATTATTATTATTATTATTATTATATTAAAGGATAATGAAATAAGAAAATAAGAAAAGATTGATGATTAAAAATAAGATATATTTAATTGAAAATAATTCATAATCATCGAATATTCTAGCAATAGGACCCAGGTTAAAATGTTGACAATGACATTTTAAATTGAATTATTTTTAAAGAGATTAATTACTATATACTTTCACTGATTTTTTTTTTTACACAATCAATACATCACAACTATTTATAAATATTACTTCATAAATAATTAAAATAAAAATTAATTTTTTAATAAATATTTAATGATCACGAATCACTGATAATATAAAATTATTCTACGCCGTCAGTGTATACGAATTAATTTTAAAAAAAAAATACAAGTTCACCACATTCTACCAAATTTTGGCAATATTTTAACGGTTTAAATGCAAAAACGATCCAACATGGTCCACCATATTGAGTAAATCAAAATTGAGTTCAATTTCTGATTAAATCGCTCCGACCATCTAATCCAGCTTGAGTTTTAAAGTTAGGGGATAACTTTTTTCATCTTTAAGGGTGCTTCAGTGTCTCTAACGTTTGAAGATACATTTTCGGACACATCTTTTTTAAATACTCCTCAACGTAAATTGATGAGGCATTCTATTTTGTTAAAATTTAATTCGGAGATGCATCTCTGTATGTATAAAAGGTGAGTCCGAAAATACAATTCCCTAAACATCATTAATTTAAAACTCAGTGGATCGTATGCTTTTATTTCATATACTCATGTTAGATCTTTCCCTCTTCCTCATTCATTTTTTAAAAAGTATTAAAATAATAGCATTTTAGCTCTCACATTCATTCAAGCTTCTCATCTATCTAAAATTCTATCATTGGAGCTCTTTCTTATTCATTCAAGTTTCTCTTTCTCATCCATTTGATTTGGTGTTTTTCAAAATTCTTTTCTTTGTTGTGTTTTGAATGATGTTTTAGATAACGTAAGTTGTTTAAGCTACATTAGATACTAGTGTAATCAAAATAGGTAGCCTAAATAGACATGCATTAAAATTTGTTTGGAGGGTTAGAGCAGCAATAACGTTTCTGTCATGGCTGGGAAATCGCGACTTTATCCGAAAATACATCTTCGAGTTCTATCTGAATTATTGGACTTGGAACAATCCAGCGCTGATTGGTTCAAGAATGCTATCCATTATTCTGGTCTTGCCAGTTTATATGTTATTGCGTACATGACTATAAATCATCGCATGTAGGCAGCATTTGCTGAGAGATGACATTCAGATACGTCATAATTCCACCTTCTTATAGAAGAGATGACCATCATTCTGGATGACCTCTCATGCCTCCTGCATCTTCCCATAAAAGGAAAATTACTGAGCCACGTAAGGATCAGTCGAAAGGAAGCCAATAAGATGCCAGTTACATTTTTGGGGGCTGACCCAACTGAAGCCACAAATGAGGTAGTTGAAACAAAAGGTACTCGTGCTAGATTTAATTTTTGGAAAAATTGTACAAAGATCAGTTACAGTGGGCTGAGGATATCAATGGTGATGATATGCATGTTTAGTACCATAAGACTTGTGTATTTAGGTGTTACCTCTTGTTCCTGGTTGACACATCCATTTTTGAGGACAAATACAACCTACGTCGATGTGGTCTATCTTAAATACTTCATCAACTTGACGATGATTCATGAGTACAACTGGGGGACCGTCTGTTTGGTCTACCGGTACTTGAAGTTACGCGAGAGTTGTCTTTGGAAGACAAAACAAATGACATGAAGCCGCACACTACTTACAATAATTTACTGTTACCAATATTTTCATAATTATTTTGTTACAATTGTTATTAATATTTTACCAGAATCATTTTCAAGGATGGATCATCTCCCACTTTCCTCACATCTTTGGGTGGAAATTTGTGCCTACCTTCACTGAGGATTGGCCACGTGTTGCCGCCTTTGTTCTATACATAAGGAATAATGTGATCAAGACATTCCAGGTGTATCTTAACTATCATGTAGAAGATGACATTGTCTTCTGCCCATACGATGGTCACCGCTAGACGCATCCGTTGAACATCATTTCTTTATACTCCAGATAGCTAACATGTGAGTCAAGTATGATGTAATCCTTATCTGTATGAGTGAGTGATGCGCCGGTTTGGGTTTTTGCAGATTATTCTGAGACCCCACATGAAAGTCTGCTCCTCCCATCATCCGTAGATATTTTGATGTGATACTTGAGGATTTCAAGAGTCACTTGGTACCAGAGAAGTATCAGAGTGTCAGATTCTGTACAATATGCTTATGTTGATGGCTATATGACATGGTTTTATATGGTGTATATCATGACACCAGACGCTTCTGGAAGATCACACATGCCATCTAATCAGGAGGTACTTGAGACTAGGGATGACCATATTCGAGGACGTGGCGGCGGTCTGTAGGCATATTATGGATATGGGGAGATCGGGCATAGAGGTTAGATTTTTTTTAGAAAGGTAGTCCTCAGTTGGACCTCATAGAAGACATGATTGTCGATGCAAGAAATGCCTTGCAATACATGCGGAGGAGAAGCTGGGGGTTAGACATACCCAATAGTTAATGTTTGGTTGTATTATTTTTTTCATTTTTAGAACAAATTATATGTGGTTGGTACATTTTGATAATTATATGATTTTTTCATAACTCTGAAGTGTGTTTGAAGCAATTAATGTATGAGTTTTCCTTCTAAATTATGACCTAAAATATGTTGGCTTAAAAATATCATATTTTGGACAAGGTTGTTGCTAAGAAAGCATTCAGGGGGTGTTATGGAGATGCATCCCCAGATACACATAAACAATATTCAAAGATATATCTCTGAATCCACTTTTAAAAAAAATGAGATGTGAAACTGAATTACGAAAGACTTATGGAATATAGGTGTATCCAGAGAAGCATCTCCGAGCAAAGTAAAAATATTTTTTAATTTTCAAAGATCTGGGTCACTCCAATGAAAAGAGTTATGGGTAAAAGTTATCACAGTTAAAGTCATCAAATTTAATTCTACTTAATATTATTATTTTAAAAAGACGCTTTAATCATTTTTTCATTTTCTAAGACGAATGTATAGTCTCAACACAAATTTAATGAAATAAATAAGATAGTAATTAATGATATTTTAATAAATACAATTATATTTTTGGGTATAATTATATAATTAATTTTAAGTGTGTGAAGAAAAACTCTTATAAATTTGGCCTTAAGAAATATTAACTTATATGATGCGATAGTAAAATTTGAATCTTTTAAGAAAAATATTTGGATGGTCATAATTATTT